GTTCGTGTTCTTGGCAAACAGCTGGTCGGGTATGCTGCTCAGGCTGCAGTTGGCCATGGAGAGCTGCTGCAGGGAGCGCAGCTTGTCGAACATGCCCGACATGATGCCGCCAACGGCGCCGCCAATGCCCACATGGCTGAAGTTGTTGTGCGAGAGATGCAGTCGCCTTAGGCTGGGCACGTCGAGCTTTTGTATGTCCGCCGGATTGAGCTGATTGCGCTCCAGATTAAGCTCATTCAGATTCTGCATGGACTTGAATGTGTGCTGCTCCAGCTTGCGCAGCGAGGTGTTGCGCAGATTGAGCGTGCTCAGGGGCAGCTCGTCCAGAAATATGTCGCGTGTCAGCTGCACCAGCGGATTGTGGGAGAGATCCAGGGACTTGAGCTGCTTCAGCCGGCTGAAGGCGTAGCCCTCGATGGCCTCGATCTGATTGTTGGCCAGACTGAGCTCCTCCAGGCTGTGCAACGTGGAGAAGTAGTCGCGCCGCAGCTGACGCAGCTGATTGCCGCTCAGGTCGAGGAACTTGAGCAGACCCAGACTGACGAAGGTGTCCTTCTCGATCTCGCGTATCCGATTGTTGCTCAGATAGAGCCGGCCCAGGTGCGGCGTGTCCACGAACAGCGATCGGTCGATCTTCACCAGCTGATTGTCGCGCAGCCACATGATCTGAATGCGCTGCTGCTGCCGGAACGTGCGCTGGTGGATCTTGTGCAGATAGTTCGCCTCCAGCTGAATGGAGAGCAGCGAGGAGTTCTGCTCGGGAAAGATGTCCTCCAGCATGGTCAGCTGATTGTCCTGCAGATTGATGTGCTGCATATTGGCCAAGGTATGGAAGGCGCCCGGCTCAATGTCCTCGATGTTGTTCTTCTGGATGTGCAGCTCCTGCAGCGCCGGCAGCGGCTCGAAGACGCCCTTCCGCACGCGGCGAATGCGATTGTTGTGCAGCCGCACCTCGCGCAGCTGCTCCAGCTTGCGGAACATGCCGATCTCCAGGTCCTGGATCTCATTGTTGTCCAGCGACAGCGACGACAGCTTCGTGCACTTGTCGAAGAGGGTGACGGGCACCAGGGGAATGAAGTTGGAGCGCAAATACAAGTGATCCAAGTTGGCCAAGGTGCTGAACACATTGGGATCGATGTGGGCAATGCCATTCGACTCCAAGTAGATGACATCCACATTGGTCGAATTGGTGAACGCATCCGCGGGCAGCTCCAGTATATTGTTCTCGGAGAGGAACACCTCGCGCAGCTGCGGCAGGTTGGAGAAGACCCCACCGATGGCGTGTATGTGGTTGTGGCTGAGGTCGACTGTCTGCAGGCGTTTGTTCTTGTCGAAGACCTTCGGATCGAGCGTGATGATGCGATTGTGCGACATGTCCAGCGACATCAGCTCCTTGAGGCTCCTGAAGGCCTCCGGCTGCACGATCTCAATCTGGTTGGCATAGAACGACAGCGTCTTCAGCTGGGGAAAGGCGCGAAAGCAGTCGTGCGCGATCTCGCTGAACTGATTCGAGCTCAGATCCAGCAGGATCAGCGAGGGTAGCTGCAGAGCGGCCGCCGTTGCCGCTGCCGCCGAGGCGTTGTTCGTGGCCAGCTGAATGTCGCCGTAGAAGGTGGAGATCTTGTTGTTGGATAGCCGCAGGATGCGCAGGTGATCCAGCTTGCGCAACGCCATCATCGGAAATGTGCGCAGACCGTTCTCCGACACGTCAATCTCCTGCATGCAGTCCTCCAGTCCGGCGAAGCCATGCTCCGGTATGGTCTGCAGCCGGTTACCCTTCATGTTCAGCTTGGACACGCGCAGCCCATAGAAGCTGTAGTCCTCGATGCGCACAATCTCGTTGTAGTCAAAGTCCAGGGCGGTCAGCTTCTGCATGGAGCTGAGGGCCCGAGAGGGTAGCTGTGAGAAGAGAGAAGAGAGATGAAGTTTCAATTAAGGTTGAATGATTGTATAAGCATGTTAGCGAATGTAGAGCTCTTAGCTTTAAGTGAAGTACAGCCTTTTATTATATTTATGTATATCGATATATTCTTAAGGAACGTAGTGAGGTAATTCCCTTTGACTTCACGCATTTGTTTTCCTATTTGTATATCTGTTCGTGCTGCTTCTCTGTCTGAGACAGTCGAAGAAGAACTACAGGATATCATTTATATAGTCTATATGTATGCAGCAGTATTTATTTGGTATTTATACTTAAGAGAGTTCTTTAAGCAGCAGAGAGTTTTCCCATTGGTCACTTAAAGTTCGACTGCAACGACCTCTACCTGGCACCGGCCTCAACATTTGAGCACGACTTGGTGCTTGAGTGAGAGGCGCCCTATATAAAGGGCAGCTACTGCAGCATTTCTTCAGTCGCCCAGGCCTGGTGGGGGTCTGTTGTAGAGTGCAGTAAAGTAAAGTGAAGCGAGGTGAGGTGAACTGAAGTGAGGTGAACTGAAGTGTGCCTAAATATTGAATAACCGTTCAGCTAAGCATTAAAGACTTGGAGAAGCTACTTGGAGGAAATACTTGGAGAAAATGGTTCGAGGAAATACTTAAAGGAAATATTTAGGCTAAAAACTTAGAGGAAATAATTGGAGAAAGTACTTGGAGAAACTATTCGAAGGAAGGAGGAATGAGAAGGAGGAATCACTTGGCTTAATTATTTCATTTCAAATATTCAAAGTAGTCAAATTAGCTGATACTCTGATTAATTTCAGTTATTTATGGTTTGCCTAATTAAATGCGACTTTAATTGAATTTAGTTTAACACGTATTTGCATTTATTGAAAATATCATATTTTTCTTCTAATTTGAATTGCAAATGTCAAAGGTAAAATTTTGACATTTTGCATGCATATCAATGCGTGGCTTTTTCTATATAACGATCCCAACTAATTACATAAAAGCAAATTAATGTCAAGCGAAACTTAGCAAAATTGCGCCTGTTTGCGGTTCAACTGTTATGCAATATTTTGCATTTATAAAATATTGACATTCGTTTTGAATTTTTTGTTTTTTATACCCTGAACCCATTGAAAATGGGAAATCAGGGTATAATGGTTTTGTGAAAAGTATGTAACAGGCAGAAGGAATCATCGCAGACCCCATAAAGTATATATATTCTTGATCAGGACGTCGAGCTGAGTCGATATAGCCCTGTCCGTCTGTCCGTCCGTCCGTCCGTCCCTCCGTCCGTCCGTATGAGCAAAAGGATCTCAGAAGATATAAGAGCTAGAGAGCTGAAATTTGGCATGCATACTCGTGTATACCATAGGCAGTACGAGTTTGCTTTATTTTTTCGATAACTCATCCGATAACTTTTTTATCGAGAATAATCGAAAAATCGACTTGGTTTTTTCAGCCTAGTTTGAACGCTTTTAAACCTGGAGACTTCAAATTTGCGTTGTATATAGAGTTAATGGATACAAAGATTTTGTAATTTACAGATTTTTGATACCATGCCCCCTTCGCCCCCAATTTGTAAAAATCGCATTTCAAGTACTAGAGACTTATGCTTTGGAATGTACACACATTTTAACTATATGAATACATTCTGAAAGTTTCATAAAGATACTCTTACTACAAGAGAAATTATTCAACTAATAAATTCTCATAATATTGCCCACATTGCAGCGCAGCCCAAGCGCAGCCGCTGCTTACTGCGCAGTTAGCAGAGCGCGTGCTTATAAGTGCATGTGTATCTATGTGTGCATAGAAGAAGTGCAGAATGATTAGAATATCAGCTTGGAGGGTTCAGGGTATCTCCCAGTCGAGCAGTCTCGACTGGAGCCTTCTTACTTGTTTTTTTTTAACTTTTTTATTTCATTTATTTATTTATTTGCGCAAGTGCTTCGTGGCAGCTGTTTCGACCTTACAATGTTTTGAATAGCATTAATTGAAAGGCACATACATGTTTTATGCACCTACACACGTACACACACACACACACACACACATACACTGAAATTGTGTTGAAGTGAGCTGCATAGAATGGAGCGAACAGGTGCCAAAATATTAAGCTTATGCAGGAGAAAGAGAGAGAGAGAGAGGGAGCACGAATGAGCACAATGGACTTTGGGAAAAGAATGCAGCTGAAGCAGCTGTTCTCAATTATCAGGCGAACGGCGCATTCATCAACTGAAACTGTAATATTATTAAACAACTTATGTTTATTTAAGAAATCTTTTTTGTTATAGTTCAACAATGCAAATCTTGTCAAAATCTGTTCAGAATCGCTAGATTTATAGTTGAGGAAAATGTCGGTTCAGTTCAAGCTGAGTTAATAGAGATTATAGGCAGCATTTGTGCTACCTCTGCCGTTTGGGACTCTGATTCCTATTGCCATACAAAACCTGGCTTTGAGCTGTATTTAGCAGTTTATATAATTTTCTCTAGTTAAGTAAAATTTGCATCGACTGATTGCAAAATCTGGGCTAATCCGATTGTTTATACTTATATATATTTATGTGCATATGTAGATGTATACCTCGCTCTTCCTCTTCTGGGCAATATTCGCAGCCAAAGGTGGCATACCATTATGGCTACTTAGATATTCCACATATATTCTAAATATTTTATGCATTTTATTCCATTAATTTATTTATTCATATAAGACATTTCCTATGGGAGATAACATTTAAGTACAAATTTTCGATACACCGAAAACATGAAAACATAAAGTTATAAAATTCTTAAAACAAACTATCTAGGCGTTGCAAATCTCTAGCTCTTTTAGTTTCTTCACACGTACGGACTAACGGGCGGACAGGGCTGAAGCAGCTCGCACTGCTCGCAGGGCTGGCAAATCTTGAAATCTTTTGTTCTTTTGGGTTATAAAACATACTTCTGATAATCTAATCATTAAGTTAACTCTAAAGTTAGCCACGCCCCTTTCTGGCTATTACATACACTCTTATAAATCCATTATCCTCCGCTTTTGCATTTTCAATAGGCGCAGGGTATAAAAAGAAGGAAAACAATTAGCTTAGTGGGTAAATTCATTTTTCCAGTATTTATTCCTCTATGTATATAATTTTTTTTTTTTAACATTTATTAGTGGATTACATTACTTTGTCTCGCTCTCTCTGTGCTTCTCTCAGTATATCTCTCTCCCAGTGTGTCTACATCTTTCTCTGCTTCCCTCTCCCTGTGTATCTCACTACCCGTGTATCTGCCTCTGTCTCTCTCACTCACTCTCTCTCCATCTGTCTGTCTCATGCTCTCTGTCTCTCTCTCTCTCTCTCTCTCTCTCTCTCTCTCTGTCTCTCTGGTATATTTCCCTCTCTTTCTGTGTGTGTGTGTGTGTAACTTGTATGCGTTGTACAACAATTGGAATTTAATAACGGTCTCGTCCATCCTGTGGAGAAGTGTATCGCCGACGCAGGGGAAAACGCAGCATACTCCTCTCGAACGGAGAGACGATGATGCGTTGGCCGTCGATCCTGCTGCCGTCCATGCTGTTCAGGGCGCGCTGGCAGTCCTCGGGGTGGACGTATTCGACAAAGGCGAAGCCGCGGCCGACGGGCGTGCAGCCATTGTGATAGAAATGATCTATGGGAAAATCAACATTGGTCAGCTGGCCAAAGCTGCCAAAAATCTCAATAATATTGGTTTTGGTCACCTGGCGCGACAGTCCCCGGATGTGCAGGCGCACGGTCTTTAGATCGCGTTCGTGCCAACTGAATGGACTGGGCGTACGATTCGCGCTGCAACGTCGATAGCTTGGGGGCAGCGTCGCCTGGCGCGAGTGCGAGCGGCGGGCACGAGAGCGAGAGCTCTGATCGGAGGGCGCACGGTATTCGCGAGGGCGTGGCGTTTGTCGCGACATGGAGCGCCAGTCCTTGGAGCGGCTGCACTCACGCTCACTTCTACGAGCGTCGCGGAGCTCAGTATTGTGACTGCGCTCCCTCGACGGCTCATGGCGGCGCTTCTCCCGAAGAGCTGAGCACGGCCGCTTCTCAACCTTCACCTGCTCCTTCTTCTCCTCCTTCTTCTCCTCCTTGCGCACATGTGTCTTGCACTCCAGCTTCAGCTTGTCTTTGTCTTTGTCCTTCGACTCGGAGTGCTTCACCGCGTCGCTCAGCTTGGCCTTGCTCGAAGCGTGCCTCTCCTTGCATCCACGCGGCGAGGGCGTCAAGCAGCATTTGTCTCTTTCCTTGTGCTTTAGCTCCCCGCTTACCTTCTGCAAGATTTTCTTCGACTTGGTGGTGGCTGACGAGGCCAAGCGCTCCTTGCTCCTGTGCTTGTCCAGCGAGCTCTTCGAGGATGATTTCGACTTCTTGGACTTGGACCCGTGCGACTTGGACGAGTGCTTGCTCTTGCTCTTGCTCTTCGACTCGTTGCCCGACGGCGTCAAGCGGGCGCAACGGTCGCTGCGACTCCGGCGCCGTTTGGTGTACGGCGTGGGCGACCAAGCCTTCATCGCTTTCGGATCCAGCTTTGGGGTAGTAGCCGGCTGAGTCGCCGACGCTGGCGCTGAAGTCGACCCCACAGCAGGCACAGAGCTCGGCCCAACTGCGGACATTGCGGACGTAGCCTGGACCGTGGCCGGGTCAGTGGCAGCTGATGCGACCTTCTTGCGGGATCTTCGCGAATGGCTACGATGTTTCGATTTGTTTTTGGATCTCTTCAACGTCTTCTTTTTGCGTGAGCGTCGACGTCGTCGCCTTCTTCGCTCAACCTCGCTATCCGAATCGCTGGTCGAGGTCACCGAGGTGCTGCAAGTGCTGCAAGACATCGACCCACTACTGGAGTAGCAGCTCTCCGAGTCGCTTTCGCTGTCGCAGCTGGACGACGACGACGGGCGGGAGACCCTCTCCGCCGGAGCCACATTGGCATGGGACGATCTTCTGCCCCTCCTCGACGATGACTCGCCGCGATTGGAGGCGTGCCGCCGCATTTTTACTGGATATTTTCTCGACTCCGGCAAATCAAATATTATTTAAGGAAATTGTTTTTTTTTTTTATTATTATTTTTTTTTTTTATGTGATGTGCACGACGAACGTTTAAAAATGAAATAAACGAAATCTACAAATTCTGGATTTTTGATTTTTGTTTTATTTCAGATTTTGCTGCTCAGCTTGTCACTCGACGAAATTCGTTTCAAAATGAATGTGTGAGCTCGAGCGAGCGACTATGCCCCCGTTTGCCCCTCAAGGCCCACTTTGATTGCACAAATTTTTGACAGCAAACTGATGGCAAAGTGCCGAGGCTGAAAGCATGAGTCACTGATTAATAGAAGGCACAACATATAATTAGGAAAGTAATAAAGGTTGCAGCTCGTTTTGATATTTGATCTCAAAGTAGGTTTTCCCTCCCAGATATACGGCAGAAATATAGGCCGTGCCACTCCCACTTCAGTGGGTAAATTGAAATTATACTTGCTATATGGCGCCGCCTCAAGTCGATAAACATTACATCATGCAGCTCGATTTGATTTGCCCTAATGAAACCAGACACTTGTTATGGCATTGCCATACCGAGCCTTTGGCCCCAAGTTACATAACTTGGCCAAAACTAAGCGAGATTTCCATGTGGCTGATTTGTACATTATTATTTGAGTTAATCATTGATTTAGGCAGATAGATAATAATTCTATTGAAAGAACTTTATCGAAGTCTCTTAGCCCAAAGCGAAGTCACAGAATCTTGCCAAAAACTCCACATTATTTAGTTAACACAAAGGCATATTCCAGGCAAGAAAATACTCTCGCATTCATTGTTTTGTTTCATGTATTTTGTAAGTAAATTCTTTGTCAGATTAGCTGAACCAGACGTTATTCGATTGTTTGGCTGCCTGAAAGGGGAAATGGGAGCAGTTGTCGCCAGAGAATGCCGCCTCACACTGGCCGGCCGTATAAATAGCCCGTTGAGGTGTCTGGGCAATCATCAGCAACTGTCGCTTGCTTCGCTCAACAGCTCAAGTCTCAGCTCCGATTCCAGCTCCAGCTCCAGTTCCAGTCATGTACAAGCTCACCATTTGCTGCATGCTAATCGTCGTCCTGGCGACTGCTGCCCAGGCCACGAATAGGCCAAGACCAAGACCCGTCTGCGTGGGCCGCTGCACTGTGGGGGACTTGAGGCGCACCGATTGGGTCTGCACCCGGGATGCCAGGACCAATCTGTGCACCAGGCTGCGTCCCTGCCGACTGCGCGAACGCAACTGCGCTCTGAGTGATCTGGGCCTGAAGCCGCTGCGACAGACGAGCCTGCGGCAGTGCGCCAATGTCAGGGGCATCGAGGGCACCGCCCGCTGTGCCCCCACCAGGAATCCTCCCCGTGTGAGGAGCTGCGTCGACAGGTCCTGCGTCAATCAGAGGCCCAACAGCTGCTGGCGCACTCGGGACGGCCGCAACCTTTGGCTCAGCATCTGCGATGCCCGCCGGGTGAACTGCGTCAACAGGAACAAGCCGCTGGGACAGCTGGTGCGCGTCCAGGACATCAAGTGCCGCATCAAGCCCGTCGTCAGGGCCTGAGCGACGACCACAGCGATAACCCATCCGTGTTTATTTCCCGTATATGCACAGCTGCATATATATCTATCGTGCCTCATTCCATATCTTATTTCGGACAATTTGTTTGCTCCTTATTATTATTTTTTTTTTCTCTCCTCTCGGTCCTTCGTATCAAATTCAAAACGCTCGTAAATATTTCATAATGTTGCGACAATAAAAATAAATATCATTTTATGGCATCCATTTCTTTGTTCTGCTTTTATATTTGCTTCGGCCACACTATGTCACCTCGTACCACAGCGCTGGGCCTCCTGCTTCTGCTGCTGCTCCTGCTCCTGCTCCTGCTCCGGCACTGACTCGCATGACTTGGCCATAAATTTGTTGGGGCCGCGCGCTTTTCAAGGCGCCAAGCCAAAAGCGGCCCAAACGGCATCGCAAATGTTCAATAAATTAAAATCGACTGCCATAAATTTCCATGTCAGTACATTAATTAAAAGCCCGTAATTCGCTGGCCCATGTCACTGGCCGCCCGACTCCGGCTCGGCCCTAGCTGCAGCCACCTGCCTCGCCCGCAACGTCCGCCCACGCCCTACCGCGCCTCCTCCTCCACCGCAGCTCAGCCGTAGCGGAAATTTTGTAATTTAATGCAATTAAAAAGCCAAACAGCTCGAACAAGAAATTGTATTCATTTCATTTGCCGAAGCAAGCGAAATTGTTGCCACGCATGCAGCGCATCAGCTGCAGCTCGTTAAACGCATCCCCTCCCCATTCCCATTCCCATCCCCATGCCCATCCCCACCCCCACTCAGCGTCCTTCTGCTCAGACGTATATCCTCGGTCTGAGCAGCACGCATTGTATTTCTCCAGCCTTGAGGCCATCGCCCACCTCCCACCTCCCGGCTCCCGTCTCCCGTCTCCTGCTACTCTCTCTCAGTTACGTGCATTGTGGCTGACCCGCGCTAATATCAATTGCACTGCATCCTTTTCCGCGTCCAGCTGCAGAGCTGCCTCTCAGCCGAGGGCCACGTGAGCAGCTCGAGCAGCGGCTGTTCTGCTCTGATTAAAAGTTGATTACAGATAAAAGCTTCAAGCAGTTTATGAATGCTGCCCATTGTTGCTTAACCAGTGTAGTATTGTAGCACTCGAATATGAAATACTCCAAGTAATTATGTAAAAACAATAAAAATAAAAAATAAAAATACAAATTCAGCATTAACGAAATAAACTCTTCATTTTAATACAAGTCAGACTCATGCTCAATAAAAATGCTGCTAGCTTCAAGATATAAATTTGACTTGTTGGCCACGCCCACAATTTGTATACCTTTAAGATATATATAGACAATAGTTCAGGCGAATACGAATTGATTTATTTACTTCTTTTTCAAATTATGTGTGAATGACCACGAAAAAAATAAAAGAGAGCAAGCAAATTGTCCGAAATAAGATATGGAATGAGGCACGATAGATATGTATATATGCAGCTGTGCATATACGGGAAATAAACACGGATGGGTTATCGCCGGATGGGTTATCGCTGTGGTAGTCGCTCAGGCCCTGACGACGGGCTTGATGCGGCACTTGATGTCCTGGACGCGCACCAGCTGTCCCAGCGGCTTGTTCCTGTTGACGCAGTTCACCCGGCGGGCATCGCAGATGCTGAGCCAAAGGTTGCGGCCGTCCCGAGTGCGCCAGCAGCTGTTGGGCCTCTGATTGACGCAGGACCTGTCGACGCAGCTCCTCACACGGGGAGGATTCCTGGTGGGGGCACAGCGGGCGGTGCCCTCGATGCCCCTGACATTGGCGCACTGCCGCAGGCTCGTCTGTCGCAGCGGCTTCAGGCCCAGATCACTCAGAGCGCAGTTGCGTTCGCGCAGTCGGCAGGGACGCAGCCTGGTGCACAGATTGGTCCTGGCATCCCGGGTGCAGACCCAATCGGTGCGCCTCAAGTCCCCCACAGTGCAGCGGCCCACGCAGACGGGTCTTGGTCTTGGCCTATTCGTGGCCTGGGCAGCAGTCGCCAGGACGACGATTAGCATGCAGCAAATGGTGAGCTTGTACATGACTGGAACTGGAGCTGGAGCTGGAATCGGAGCTGAGACTTGAGCTGTTGAGCGAAGCAAGCGACAGTTGCTGATGATTGCCCAGACACCTCAACGGGCTATTTATACGGCCGGCCAGTGTGAGGCGGCATTCTCTGGCGACAACTGCTCCCATTTCCCCTTTCAGGCAGCCAAACAATCGAATAACGTCTGGTTCAGCTAATCTGACAAAGAATTTACTTACAAAGTACATGAAACAAAACAATGAATGCGAGAGTATTCTCTTGCCTGGAATATGCCTTTGTGTCAACTAAATAATGTGAAGCTTTTGGCAAGATTCTGTGACTTTGCTTTGGGCTAAGAGCTTTTCAGATAGTTCCTTCGATAAATCTATAATCTCTTTTGGTTTTAGATTGCCTTCATGACTTATGAAATATTTTGTAGAATTATCTTAAGTAATTCTGACCTTTGATTGTATTTGCTTGAGCCTTTATATGGTTAAATGGTCTATGAATGGGAATCCATTGTGCATAGACTTTTTAGTCTATATAATGGTCAAGGCAGTAAATCGAGACCCACGGAAGTAAATTACTTTATTACCAATATTCTATTATTATTTAAATAAGAAATGTTGGTGCAATGGCTATGTGAAGGAGTCGAGGCAGAATTGATAAATTATCTTTATTTCTGTATAGGACGGTTATCTAATCCGTCTTTCCTCTATGACAATTATGATATTTCCTTTCACATCCTTATATTGAAATAATTTATCGTAATATATAAGCAAATTCTGGTTGCTTAAAATTCTCAAGACGCCTTGAAATCTCAGCTTAGCCTTATCAAATCGAGCTGCTGGGCATAGCAGCTATCGAAGCATGACCATGCCCATTATTCTAATTGTTCCACCCGCAAAGTTGGCTTTTGACAGCAATTAAATTAGATTATATAGTCGTGTTGCTGGTTAGCTGAGCAGGAGCTCGGCTACAAAATGGCCCCAAATATGCATTAATGGCCATTCGATGGCGCTGCGTTCTGCTGCTGCTGCTGCTGCTACTTGGGTCAATGGCATCGACAGCTGTCGTTCAGCTGTTGTTGTTGCTCCTCTTCGGCTGGGGCGTGTGCCCGGCCCCCATTGTTTAGCCAGTGGCTGGCCGAGCTATAAAAGCGTCGAGCGCCTGCTGGGGGCCAACAACTGAGAGAGCAGCCACGAAGCACGAAGCACACCACAACATGCAGTTGACCACGCTAATTGGTAGGTGTTTCTCTGCTCTGGGCATATGCCTGGACTGATCGATCGTCTTGTTCTTTGCAGTACTTGCGCTGCAGCTGATGCGAGCAGCGATTGCCTCGACGACTCCCGCGCCCAATCCCCTCACCCGGCCCACAATTGGGCCCGTGTGTCTCCAGCCGCCGGTTTGCATTGCGCGCAGTCCGCCGGTTTGCGGCCGGCTGCCCAATGGCCTGTGTCGCCGCTTCAGGAACATTTGCGAGCTGATCGCCGTGAATCGCCGAGATGTGAGCGGCGACAGGAGGCTGACCTGGACACACACGCAGGAGCGGGATTGCCGGCTGGTGCGGCGAGTGGGCGCCGGCAGTGCGAACTGGTGCCAGCAGGACTGTCCCCGGCGAGCCGTCCCCTGCCGACGCACGCCGCGTGCCCAGGAGATTTGCGTGCGCTCACGCAACCTGAGGTCCTGCCGGGTCCTGGCCAACCGCTGCCAGCTACTGAACCTCAACTGCTTCGGGCGTCCACGCAACAGTGAGTGCTGTCTAGGTCCCTTTGGAGAATGTCAACTAAACTATCTCTCTCTCTCTCACAATCACTCTCACTCTAGATTGGCTGCCGGCGCCGAGGCGCCTTTGCGGCCAGCTGCGAGCGGGCGACAGACCGCGCGCCTGCCAGCTTCGGTTGCCTTCCAGGCGGCCCGATGTAACCATCAGTCTACCCGTCCTGCCACGCCCACCGACCAGCGATACGCCTCTGACAACGACGACCAGCCAGCCTGCTGCAACAGCTGGCTAAGCCACAGGCTCGCAGCTTTCTTCTGCATCTCATTCTCTTCTTCTTCTCTTCTCTTGCTTGCTCTCTTTCACAATAAATCGAACTACTTTAACATTGACTTGCAACTTTAACTGTATAATTGCTGGCAGGAGAAGCGAAAGCACTGCTGCCACGCCCACATGTTTCCAGCTGGCTGCCTTTTCGGTGGAAATTATTTTATTGAACGCAATTGTTTTTAGCTTTGGCTCGTTTGTTATTTCGCGGCGGCAAATTACTTTTTATGGCCGCCCAAGCGGCGGTTGTCGGGTTTACGTTACGTTAACGGTGAATGCCGTTCGCATTGCTGCCACACTGACTCTGCCACAGTGGCTGCCTGCCGTTGCCTGGCTGGCGTTGCCTTTGCCGCTGCGGCGGCTGTTTTCCAAATTTAATGGCTTAGAAAGCCATTTGCATTTTTTCAGTTGCCCAACTTTGTTGAACATTATTGACGCCGTATGTTGGTGCCGCTAATTAGCTTTAGCTGCACCACCACCACCACCCCCAGCACCACTACCGGCAAACAAATATTGTGGCTGTATTAAATTATGCAATAGCAATGCTGCAAACTAAAAAAATTAAATAAATTGCTCGACTACGAAATCTCCTGAATCATTCTAAGAATTTATATTTCTTCACGTCTTTCTGCTTACACAAGAAACACACACACACACATTCACAGACACACATAGGCATGTACGCATAAACACGCATGGACTGCAGTGTGGGCATACTATGGGAACTTAATTGTTTAACATCTTTTCTTGTCGATGGACTATCTCCATGAAACTTGTACAGATATGCGGGTGGGGGTGTGGATATAGGGGCACATACATATAAGTCTACATTTAAAATTTGGAAACTCTAGCTCTTAAGGTGTGGAAGATATAATTAAATAACTACCTTTCGATAAGGTTTTTGATCGATAACAAAATATCGGGAGTAGTTATCGATTTTTTAAGCAAAACTTGATCTGCGCGTGGTATACACGGACTTGGGGAAAATTATTTCAAGTCTCTAGCTCTTATAACTTCTGAGATCGACGCGTTCATATATACGGACAGACCGACAGACGTACGGACAGACAGTCGGACAGGGCCATATCGACTCAGCTCGTCGCCCTGATCAAGAATATATATACTTTATGGGGTCTGCCACGCCTCCTTCTGCCTATTACATACCTTTAACCAAAACATTATACCCTAATTTCCCACTTTCAATGGGTTCAGGGTATAAAAAACGAAAATCTTTAAGAAAGTGCATTGCATTTATATATATGCATTTATTTACTCAATATATATATTTACTTAAGTGCAAAGTTGCGCAAAGCAAAGAGTTGCTCGGTGTTTTGGGTATTTTAAGTTTCGCCCGAAAGTATGCAATGAAGTTGCGCCAGCCGGAAATTGAAGCCCGCTGCTGCGGCTGCCATATTGGAAGCACGTTAAATTCCATTGCATACTTTTGTGCGCGTTGGAAATTCAATAAACTAATAAGTAAATTTGCCGAACGCATAAAGAACTAGTTTTAATTGGATCTCATGTGTGGTAGCCCAGCGCAGATATGTAAATGTCCGATATAAATATATTGGCTTATGCAAGGCAATGTCTGCTGCTGCTGCTGCTGCTGCTGCGGCTGCGGCTGCTGCTGCTGCTGCATATTAAATTTTACCCACCTCTGCACATATACCTGCACTCACACACATACATGCGTATCTGTATGTGTGTGTATACAATATTTGCATATTGAAATTTTCTTGGCTTTTTAGCCAGCCGAGCCACGTGGCTGGCACACATATTAATCGCCGTTGCTGCTGTCGAGCAGCCAACAGTTGATTGTCACAACGTTAGTTGGGGCGTTGGCTACGGGGCGTGGCACTGGCACGACAATAAGTACACTGTTGCCAGGACAGGCCACAGGCGGCAGCACATTGTTGTGAAGTGCAATAAATTTGCATGCTATTATTTTGGTGTCTGTTGACGTTGACGTTGACGTTGAAGTTGAAGTTGACGTTAAAGTTAACGTTCACGTTCACGTTCACGTTGACATTGCCTTTCTGTGCGCCTTTGCCTTGGGCTTTGGCCCACTTTAGCGCATTCCTCAGCTGCGTATATCAGCTCCTGCTAAACTCCACTGACTGCCTACAGTCAGCCGCTGCTGCCCTGGCCACTTGGCGTATGCGCAATTTGCCATTTTCAGCCACTTACCTGCGTTAGTTTGCCGTTGACGATGCTGAGCGACTCGAGGCTGCCGCGCACATTGCGCAAACTGTTCTCCTTGAGCGCCTCCAGGTGCGAGTGCGAAAACTGCAAATGGCGTATGTGCACGCCCGGCTGGATGACGTCCTGCGAGAGCGATGTCACCGACCGATCGAAGTCGTAGATGGAGAGCGAGTGTATCGGCGCCGAGATGCGCTCCAGCGTCGAGCGCAGCGACAGCGCCGTCGTCCCGGGACACTCCAGAAAGAGGCCTGCAAATAGCCACAGCTCAATCATTAATCATCGACAAACAGCAAACAAGAAGCACCCCAATGCATATTATCATTGCCATTAGCATTAGTAATTGCGCTCACACTCAACTGGAGCAATCAGTCGAGCCGAAGCCCTTGACTGTGTCTCGAGTTGCCCGATGCGTGTGCCCCAAGGTTTGTTGGCCCTTGATTAGGTCTGATACAGATGAGAGAATAATCAGCTTACCTAACGCTGAAAATTCTCGGGAAATTCGCTGCCAATAACAATGGATTATTCTAATTTTCCTTTGCTTTGCAAACAAATGAAAGGCAGCGATTTGAGGCCCTATTAAGAGTCCAAAGAAGATTTCCTAATTGAGCTAAATCATTTAATTCGGGATTTTCTAAAGAATAGTTCTGAGTGCGAGACGTATTATATTTATATACAGTAGTACAAATATTCTTATTGAAATTAAATCCATAAGAAATAAAATTAAATAAATAAAAACATTAAAAAAATTCAACAGTCATAAATTGAATCGATTTTTATTAACATCTAAGAAATCAATTTACGCTTTTGGCTAACCCAAATGCCATTTGGATTCAGAAGCTCAAAGGCAGCTGCATTAATAGCGAAAATTCCATTAAAAATGCAATTATTGCAAATTAGATTGAATAGTTTTTTCAATTAATAGAAAATTCGTATAGCTGGCGGATTTCTCATTTTGCCAATTAGCGGAAGCAGAGATCAAAGCAAACGAATTGCTAGATTAAATATTGAGCAAAACTATGAGTGCTGTATAATCAGGTGTCTTTGACTAGCACATACCCTGGGAATCGTGGGGTATCTTAAAAAAAAAAAAAGAAGAAGAAGAAAATGTGGGATTTTTTAATATATAGAGAAAATTGTTGGAGTTTCCAGAGAGAGACAACAGCCTCAAATGGATTGAGAACCAAAATTCTGCAGCTTCGATTGGTTGACTATATGTAAAACTGGGTCTCTCTGATTGACCTACTTTTCAAGATCAACAAACTTCGATATGAAATCAGAAGGACAGACAGCAAGGCGAATATGACTAGATTGATAATGTTTTAATGGCTGCTCAATAATATATAAATTATTATTCTATGTAATTCTCAACATTTTTAGCTTAGTTCCCAACATTTGTCTTAAATATTACAGAAGAGCAGCACTTAGAAAACTCATATAGCCGCGCCTGCTCTAGCTATATAACTATAGCTTCTGTAATGTGTTTACATCAAACAAACATATGCAAATCTGTGATATATCTTTGATCTATATATGATGCGTATTCAGATAATGCTCACTTGACATATAGAATTTTTATATGATTTAATATTATATTAAAAGACATATAGAATATTTATATGATTTAATACTATATTAAAAAAATTTAAATTAAATTAAATTAAAAAAATAATTTAAATTAAATAATATAAAAATAACATAGTAAATAAAAACTTTAACTACAGTCTCACAGAGCTTCTCAAAATTCGAATGATATGTTACACTCTGCTGTTTAAAATTGAGGCCTAACCAACAGGGAATACTATATATTGAAAATCTGTTGAGATATTTGAGCTTGCATAACATTCATGGATAGATATATATGTAAATATATATTGTATGGATCGAAAATCTCGAGTTTTACATGATTTTTGGTTTGAATTGTGAACCAGTTTTTAATTTTTTTCTACGTATGATCTAGTGCATATCAAGACTAATAACAAGAATGTAATATCAAGAATTTATGTTAATCTTAATATATCTATCATATATATTAAATTCTTGTCTTTTATTTTTTCATCTGTAATATGTGTTATTATTTGCCTCAATTTAGCTTTCACATGATGAGCAGCTCGGCGAGAGTGAACGTAACTGAATCTGGTCTGCTCCCCTAGTTTGGGGCTGATCTATTGACCATACTCGACTTAATTGACAAGATGGCTGGGAGTGCAGGGCGTATTCGCATCGCCATCGCCATCGTAGTCGAGTGCTCTTGGCTGGCAAGTGGAGTGGTGCCTGGTGTCTAGCCTCAAATGCTGGTGTCTCTGGTGTCAAAGTAAACAATCTTTGCATGCACGCACCCACACACACACACATATATATATATATGCATGCATATATATGGAGAGATTTGTTATTGGGCCTGTTCGCACGTTTTCGGGTGCAATAAACTTGGCCATGCTCGAGCTTTGATGCGTTTAATTAGTTCGGTGGTCCGTTTGCACTTACCATCTTCAAACTTGTAGCAGGGACAGGCGGAGCTATCGTCGAAGCTGGGGCACTCGATGCCCGCTGCACCACCGCCTGCACCGCCGTTGCCTGCGGCCGCTGCTGCTGCTGCTGCTGCGCCGCTGTTCAGCTCATAGTGCAGCTCACGTGCGCTGCTCTTGCCGACGCCGACGCCGCTGCCGACGCTGCTGCTGTGACCGCTGCTCAGCGAGCGGGCTGCTCGCTGGGCAATTGTTGCTGCTGGTTTGCTAGTTGTGGTTGTTGTTGTTGTTGTTGTTGTTGCTGCTGCTGCTGCAGCTGCAGTCGTGGCCAGCATTAGCCACAGGACAAGCGAGGAGCAGCCAAGCTGATGTTGCTTGAATTGCTGTCTCGACTGCTG